CATACTGGAAATCTAGTGCCCCTACCTTGAGTTCAGGCGGCTCGAAAACAACTTGTATCCATTTTTCATCTAGGACGTTTAATTTTCCTGCATGACACAGCTGATGGTTAGAAAAATCCCAGATTAGAATGGTAAAAGAACTGGACACGCATCATGAACTAGTCTAGACCTTGAACTGAGGTATCGAGTTCTGTCCTGGGCATGAATTAAAGTACATATCATATGCTAACCTTTGCTATACTGATACCAAATCTAAGAAATCGTTATTGTAGCAATTGATTTTCACTACTTTGCTACCTACCACAGAAAATAGGCACCATTTGTTCATGAGACTAAATTGCATATATACCTAAAAGTAGAACATTATAGAAGCAAATGATTCACTTAGGCGATGCCAACTAGTTGGTACTAAGGCTTAGTTGTTGTGATAAACCTCAGGTTCATATTTGCACTGAATTTTCTTTCAATTTTATTTTGGTTTGCTTAAAGAATCAGTGCTAGAACAAGTCTGAGATTTAGATAACCCATAGTTTGCCTTAGAAAGACCAAGTACTATGTATGTCTTGAAATAAAATGGACCAGGATGGATATAGAGGATTCATATAGTCACCTTCAAGTAGTTTGCTATTAAGGCTTGTTCGATCGATTGATTGGTTGACTAGATTAGGGCCATGTGGTGTAATGCAGGAAATAGTAAACAGATGAAATTGCTGGTAGAAACATTTTGAGTTCTAGTGGGGAGAAGGTACTTCACTGATCCCATAGCTTTCATATTTTTTCGGGGATAACCGTGGTGTCCGGGTTACCTCAATTAATTCTACGGGACATCTGCTATCTCCCACCAGCAACAGGTACCAGGTAACTCTGTCCATGAAAGCTTGGACAGATGGGAAGTAATTACCTAGTATTTTTTGTCTCCGCTGGATTTGAACCTGAGACCGTATGGTTCTCAACCCACTTCATTGACCACTAGGCCACACTCTTAAGTGTCTATTTACAACATTCTTATTTAGGACTTCATATAACAGATTGAGAACAAAAAGGACAAATAACTTAGAAGCCAGAAACAGTGAGATGTCTGTATATTTCTTAGAAAATATGCAAATTACAAGCAATTATGTGTCAACTGAGTGTGAGCGTCCACGTTGTTATGTTTGGCATTTGATTCAGCAAGTCACACTTACCATATAAACACACCGACATTTCTACTCTATAAAGGAGAAAAGAACTTTTAAGAAGAGATAAATTTGAAAGATAGGATATGTTTTCGTACCTTTTAAGGAAACCTCCCCATCAAGGAAACCAAAAAGTGAAAAGGACACTCTGTTCCTGACAATGTCAGGGGCTTCAACAGCCTGAATCATTTCGTTTGTTTTGAAGAAAAGGCGACCAAACGCACTCCGATAGCCACCCCCAGGTGAAGTGGGATTTGAGCAGTACACTACATCCCATTCTGCAAGGAATTCATTATTAGTTGCAGTTTAGAAGCTGATTTGCTATAAGACATGGTTAAAATAACAACGGCATTTATGCACAAAACTGCTAGAATTGCAGTTCAGGAAACCAGAGAAGTAACTAACATCTTTTGTCAGCAGAACAACTTATAGTTCAGTGCAAAAAGAGCACGCACAGAAGCGCGCACACACACATATACACACACAAACTCATATTTGTTTTTGGTAAATAAAGACTTTATTACCAAAGCAGGAATATATACAGCTCAAAACAAAAAAACCCAGTAAATCTGCAGTTTGGACATAAAGCCCCAAACATAGAGCAGCAAAACTATCTACTGAACCTCCCGACCACAGTATCTAAATTCATGGGTTGAAATTGAGCCTCTCTAATTCCTTCTGCATCTTACTTCTCATGAGACCTCTTGCATACACCTCTTGAATCACCATTCTAATAATCATCTCAGGCCTGCTCTGTAATCACAAAACATGATAATCACACAAGGGGTGTCCAAATTTTAAAAAAGAAGTTATTTTACTTATCAAACAAAACATTTGATGCTCTGTGTAAATAGGCAACATGATCATCCAACTTCCTTAACTGGTGCTAGATGCCGATGTTTTCAAGTTAGCGAACATATAACTGCAGAGGTTATTCACTATTTTGGTGCATTTTGTTCTATGGTATACAGAATCATGCATTATAACACAGTATTTCGTCAGTGATCATATTCTGCAGACTTATTAAGTGAAAACTCTAGATCATCTGCTGAGTATGTTAATTTGCATGCACAAATTGCTCTAAACCAAACAGAAGGAATTGGAAGGAACTTGTTCAGAAGAATGGCACACTCGATGCTTAACAAGAAATAGGGATACTGTACTTATGAGGAAAAATAACTAGGCCAGACATGCTAGGTTAACAAAGAAAATTACTTCTGATAATTAATATATGTCCAAAGAGGGGAAATAGGAAAAAGACCACGGAAATATCAATCTGCAAGGGCACATAGAGAGTTTAATGGAATTCTGTTTCTACTAAAAAATAACACTAAAGTTTACCTCCGAATATTAGAGGGCATTTCACAGGTTCATCCACACAAAAACGTTGCAATTCTTGAGCCACTTCGGCTACCCTTTTGTGCTCATCCCTTGTCAGGGAAACCCCTCGATCTGTTTGCATAACCTGGTTAAGTGATGATGCTCAGTTGATGTTACTAAGACTTCCAAACAGTAGTACTCAGAATGCAATTATTCAGTTGACAAACTGCCTCTATATAAGGCATTTCCCTGTGGTTGGGTAAGTATGACCTAGAGTTTTCCTCTTAACTTGAGATGTTAGTTTCACCACTTTATGAAGCAGCAATTCAGTTAGTCTCTTAAGAGTGTTTGTCATGATCTCCTGAAAATTTTTGGCAAGCAATTTACAATCTATAAGGACACTAGCCAATTTTACCAAACTATTTGAGGCTCAAAACTTAGCACTGATGTTAAATTAGTTGAGACTATGCAATGCACATATAGAGGTTTTATATTGCTTCTTTTTTTCTTTTGGGTTCTTTCTGAATTATAGAGTATAAGTTGTTTTACCAAAGTGCACGGCAAAGTGCCAAGATAGGCCAAGGTTGTGCTGAATCTTAGTACACTTGGCTACCTAACCAGAGGCGGAGCAAGTATTTGAAGCTTATGGATTCGGAATTCTACTCTTTCTATTACTCGGTTCTAAACTAATACAGTAATATATTCAATGGATTTCTTAAGACACTAGTTTCGGTCGAGCCCCTAAGGTGTACCCTACCTCTGCCTTTGTACCTAACCCGATTCGAAACAATCAAATGTGATAAATTGATCACAATTTCTCATTAATATCCAAATTTATAAAATTAGAATTACCCCGAAACAGGCTATCATTTGCTGCAATTGTCCTAAATGAAAGGCACTTAAAACACCATAAGAAAAGCAAAAAAAAAAAAAAAAGAAAAGAAAA